AACAGCACCGTTTGGAATCCTGCCAGAATATGTTGAATTAAATTCATTAAAGGCTGATAGTGTAGCCTTTGCAACCTTACTGGCTAGACGACTTATTCTTATGAATTGGAAGTCAGCAGCTCCCCCTTCTTATCGGCAATGGGTTTTTGATTTTCTTACATGCTCTTCAAATGGAAAAGATTTGGTCCGAAATCAAACAAAACACAGAACAGTTCCAGATAGTCTGGAGCCCTTTTCTAAAAAAAAAAAGGAGACACCTATATCTTAATTGGCTTTATTCCAATCTTTTCTTTGTATTTTTTATTTATTTATCATTCTTATTTTTGTTATCTTATTTGTATACTTTTATTTATATACTTATTTAGTGTATGATTACATTTCCAGATAATTTTTTTGTTTGGTGAATTGTATCAGTGCATATTTCTATATGCAGCAATATTATGTACATTTTAACGTCTGACCTAAGAACCTAATAAAAAAAAAAATTAATTAAACAATCTTCCATTGTGTTCCACAGAATAAGTAAAATCATTTTGTATTGGGATGACATGAAAGGGAGTAAATGATAACAGAACTGAGATTTTTGGCTAAACGATCCCTTTAAGTGCATGACCATTGTGACCTGCTGTTTCCTCAGAAACATGACAACAGTGGCAGGGCCAATCATCCAGGCAGTCGCTTGTTTAACTTCTGAGATGAACATGTGCATATGGAGATCCGGGTAAACATCGATGACTCGCACATTGCACGGTTTAAAAACCAGGTGTGATATGGTGCAGGTTTACACCAATTTGCTTTCACTTTCAGTAGGCATTTTCACACAATGAAAGTGAAAATGTAGCTTGCAGTGACAACCACAAACAATAAGACTTAAGATTGTAAGTTGCTATTTTGTTGATCCAATCAAGTAGATGACACTAAATACAGGTGTAAATGTAATCAAAAAGATTTTAAGCTTGTGCAATTTTAACCACTTCCTGTGCCTCGTTCAACACACATTAAATCTGACTGCTTATGGATTAGAAACCAAGATGCTTGCATGTGTTCAAAAGACCACCTACTGACCTTATTCTGAAACATCAGCTACTGAAAATGTGAGTTTGGTCTGAAGGAAAAAAATGTTTGTCCTGATTCAAAGAATATATTATCAGATTCTACAAATATATGGTCATAATATGGTAATAATAAAAATATATATTATATAAAATCCATAAAAAAAGAAGAAAACACAAAATAAATACTTGCAATGTATTTTAGTATTTGACACAACATTACATTTATAAAATATAGCATTCTTACATTATTTAGAGCTCTTTGGTGAAACAGATTTGTGAATGTTCTATGTCATGTTATAGACTAGAGAGTAGGCATGAGACGATGATGTTTTTAAGGTATACCACGGTTTGGAAAAGTCAAGGTTTTAAAACAGCCAAAATGTTCTGTTATACTGTTCCTATGGTATTTGTAAGATTTTTTTTACATGTTTTTACTTAAGTTTTTTAGAAAAAAAGTATCTTCAGCAGAAAAAATATCCAAAGACGCCATTTTAAAATGTAAAGAAATCTGTGTTTTTGAAACGAATGAAGACAGCAGAAGTCAGTAATTCACTTGAATTATTTAGCCTGACATGTTTACTGTTTTAAAATATTCTAAATGTTTCTCAAAATAAAATATATTGTGTTCAAAAGGGAAAAAAGTTGTTTTTTTTACCCAGACATTTAAATAGAATATATTTTAGAGCAGTAATCACAATACCGTGAAAATGTGATATTTTTATACGAGGTTATTATTCCGTCAGAATGTTATGCTACCAGAGACATGATTTCATTTAGCAAAACATGTTTAAACAGAATAAATTCAGTTTTAGGAACTTTACTCCTTAAAAACAATAAGTGTTAAATATTTTAACTTGAATTTGATTATCAATAAAACATATTTTAAGTACTTTCAATGCTTTAACATTTACTCATTTGTAACTGTAAAATATCCACTGACAAATTGAGTACATTATAGTTGCTTTTTTGAGTCCAAGTCAATTCTGCAAGATTGTTTCGCAACATCAGATAAAAATCCCTTAATTCACCTGCCCATAGGCACTCTCTAATCAGAAAGTAGTCGAAAATAAACAACAAAATAGACGGATTAAACTTCCTTCTCTAAATGTCATCCGATCGACCGAAACCCATTTTAATAAGAGGTGTAAACAAGGCCTCAGATTAACCATGCCTGCCTGGCTGGGACGTGGTGTTAGAGTCAGCTCTGGGCCATTGAAGGATGTAAACAACCTCATGTGACGCTTCTGAAAAACCAGATGTGTTTGTAAACAGCATTCTCAGGCACCAGCAGATGGACCGCACATCTCCTTCAAGACATTCCCAGGACCATCGGCCTCCCGTGGGCTTCCTATGCGGGGTCTCATGACTGAGCTTTGGCCGGAGGGGTGCAGTAAGACTGGAGGGGTGGCAAGGAGGGTGGATCTGCATTGTTTCACAGGGACCCCAGGCCAGCCAAATACAGGCCCCCGGAATCAATCCCCTGCTGGGATATAATCCCATTCAATCAGGGGTGGCTCCCAGATTGGCTGAACAAAGGACAGGGAGGAGTGAGGGCAGCGGCGTCACGTTAGGCAGGGCCGACTCAGACACGTTCACACGGCTCGGGAAGCCAAAGACAAAGAGACCGCTGTCATCTCTGTCCCCCATGTACACCCCTCCCCCAAAACACCCACCCGACAACAAATATCACACGGCTCCCTCCATGCCCAGGGTGTTCGCTTATGCTGGCTCCAGCTGATCGAGGCATGTGCGCCGTATGCTGAGGTCTTCCATCATCAATACGCCGCTCTTCCTGTGGCGTTCCCACCCTAATATTGCCTTAAAGACTTCAAGTCGACTCTACTTTGGATCTGACAGACAGATGGTGGCAAGTTTGGCCAATGAGGTAACACAGCCTCTGTGGTATCTGCTGTTAAAGTCAGCGATGGCATTTGACAAATAGAAAACAAACTTTCAATAAAGTAGAACTAACTGTTAACATCTGACCTCCAATTTGGAGAAATGGAAACGGGTTGATGAAAAGGCCAAACTCTCAAGCCTCAAAGCTCACTGGAAAGCGATTCAACCAAACACATGGTCTGACTGACCTGTTGCGAAGAAGACATCTGGGGTCTGATTTATCAAACTTTGTGTAGAAATTTTTCTTAAAATACCAGAATTAGGCATAAGACGATAACCATTTTCAAGGTATACTGCAGTTTGGAAAAGTCAAGGTTTTAAAACCACCAATATATATATATATATATATACATACATACATATACATATATATATACATATATATATATAATTAAAAAAATTTTTAGGACAACAGTATCTCCACCAGAAAAGATATCCAAAGATGCCATTTTAAACGGTAAAGAATCTGTGATTTTGAAACCAATGAAAACAGCAGAGGTCAATGATTCATTTGAATTAAGTAGCCTCACATGTTTACTGTCCCAACATATTCTAAATGTTTCTCAACATAAGCTGTATTATGTTCAATATAGTTTTAGTTTTTACCCAGACATTTAAAGAAATAAATTTTAGAACGGTAATCCTAATACCATGAAACCATGATATTTTTATCCAAGGTTATCACACCGTCAGAATCTTATACCGACCCACGCCTAGCCAGAATACATTTTCAAATATGTATCAATGATTATGGCTGATGTGACGATTTAAAGTCGTTCAGTTAAGTCAGTATTTAAGTTAAATATGTTTAGAGATTACTTACAGCTGCGCACATTCTGTTGTTCAGTTTGTTTTCATAGATCACAACCTTTGAGTGGGAAGTGGCGTACACACATTTTTAACCCATTATATGCCACATTTATAAATGAGACCCCTGGACTTTAAAGTTCAGTAGTTTGAACAGATGATTATAAAACATTGATAACTGTTTTTTTTTTTTCCAACCCCGTCTGACAGGTCGTAGGTGTGTAGGTGGTTCTTGAGAAACAACATATGCATATTTTTCACACTCAAAGACCTAATTCCAGAAACCTTAAATGAAGAATCCAAACTAAAATAAAAGTCTGTGATTATGTAGAAATAATATAAATATTTTGTTAAAATACAACAAAGCTTGCAATCCTGTTGATATGATTCATCCAAAAAGTCATCATGAAGTGTAAACACACACAGAGTGAGAGCCTGTCTTTATAATACGACTTTACTAAAATGGCAGCGTATATAAAATAAATGTTAATGATAAAATTATGCTTTGAATTAAAGTTGAGGTTTTTCATCTGATTTAGCTTTTCTATTTACTATATTACTTTATTTACTCTCTAGATAGATAGATAGATAGATAGATAGATAGATAGATAGATAGATAGATAGATAGATAGATAGATAGATAGATAGATAGATATACTGATTATAGATAAATAAATAAACTACAAAATATATGCAATATCACTGCATAGCAACAGACTCCATCATGCTGTAAGCTACTTTTTAAAGCACCCACAGCCAATAGTTTGCAAACGACTTAATGTTTAAAACAATACTTAATTCCAGTACTGATATCGAAAGATTAAGTAAACGAAATAAAACAGCAATCTTACCAAACTAAAATGTTCCTCTGTTCACACTTTATCCGTGTATGGGTGAGAGTCTCCAACTAACGTTACATTTCTTTTAAAAATTGTTCTCAGAAGCCCAAACTTGTGAAGTCTATATCAAGATAAGCTTATCTAAAAACCAAAACTGCCGATAAAATACTGAGGGATGGCAGCGGTCAAACGCCTCTAAAAGCTCCAGACAGCTGTTAAATGTTAGATATTTAGAGCAGCACTCGAGTGTTTGGTTCTCAGCTCTGGTGAAGCTCAATCTAACACAAAGATTTGAACAAAATTTACAGCCACTGCGCAAAAACAGCTGGTCGTATCTAAATAAGAAGCGTTTGTATGAGCGCTCAGTGTGTGATAGTGAAGGAAAGAGCACATCACATACCGTGTGCACGGCCTCTCCAGCGCCTGTGTCATAATAGTGCTGCTCGCCGATTATCAGCTTCTAGATCGTTGTTTTGTGATAGATCGCGATCGGGCGCTCGTTTCCGGTGTCCGGTGGCAAAAGATCGTGCATTGATCAGGACCAAATCACAAACGCGTCTCTGTTAATCCACACGAGACGCATGATCTTTCCTCCTTCTCTCGCTGTGTGTCTGACCGGGTTGTTTGATTGGCGACTTGGACGGTGGATTTCGGCTTCAAAGCGCACAGCGCCCAGTTCTCATTGGAGAATGTGTGAAGTCAGGAGATTGATATTGAGACGAGCAACAGCGGACTCTAGAGGATGATGTTGGTAACTGCGTCCCATCGTGCCTGACATCATGCACTGCAGTGGAAACGTAGCAACTTTTGTTTCTGAAGATCTGTCTCACCTTTTTTGGAACTGTAAATAAACCAAAAGTTTTTGGAGAAATGTATTAGATATATTTAGTGGTATAATTCCTGATGTTATGTTAAAATATGAAAATGTTATTTTTGGAAATAACCATCAAAATGAACATCAAGATGCTTTTTATTTATTTTATTTGTTATATTTTTGAGCAAATATTTTATACACAAGTGTGCATTTTGTAAGCGTAAACCTTTCTTTTAGATTTTTCTTGGAGATCTAAACCTTTATATGTCTTTGATTTCTAAATGTACTAATAAAAAAAGCTGTAAAACTGTGAATCTGTTTATAAGATACATTTCTGTTTTGATCCCTGGCATGTAATATTATAATGTAATGTAAAAGTTAAAAACTTTTGTTTCTGATAAAACCAAAAAAGCTGAAAAAAATATAAATTACTATTTGTATGTATAATATAAACATGTTAATTTCATTTTGGTCATATGAGAAACAATAATTAATCATTGTTTTATTATTTTATATAGGCTAATGTTGTAATGTTTTTGACACATTGACTACCATATGTAGTAAATTGATGGTTAATATTTGTAAGGATTGTGCAGATATATCTAAAATGTCAAAGTAAAAAAAAAAAAAAACAGAGCAGATGATATAAACATCTAAAAACTGTATCTTAACAAATACCCCTAGAAAAGGTCAAAACGCTGTCAGCAAAATAACTTGACACAGACCAGCCAAACTCTACTTCGCCAAAAGTAAACATCCACAACATTTAGAGCACTTAAAAACTTTAACCAAACAACAAAACGTACTAATGTTGGATACTAAATGCTGAAAAAGAGAATGCATTAGCAGAACACTGCACCTAAATAGACAAACCCTGACTAAATGCAGACCAAGTTGAGGAAAATCCCTTGTGAAAATTACAAAGCTATTTCTACAAAGGAAATATTGTAGGAAATCCATGTTTTGCTACACTAACTATTTTTTTAAGCTTTCTACACAAACTGAATGTGACACCACAAGTTGTAACGTTCTAAAAAGTTTATCGTTTGTGTGCATGCGTGTGTGTGTGTGTGTGTGTATGTGTCCAATGGGCTCATAGGACTAGCATAAGCCCAGTGGGCTGCCAGCACAAGGCATGGAGAGACTACTCACTAGCAAAATTGTTGGCCCCATAGTGCTGGCCCCCACATGGACAGCCCTCAGGAAGCCCTAACTAGGCTCACATGGTAATTCTGCTTGTTGACAGCAGGTGTTTATCATCAATTTTCAGAAACACTGAGTTAATCACTTAATTATCTCATTAACTTCATCAATGCGTCTGTGTTTTTAAATCTGTTTCTATCATTGAAAAAAAAAACATTAATTGAGGGTGCAAAGCCAATGCTAATACAATGAAGCTTTGCTTTCTGGGGTTCAGCCTCAACCACACAACGATGTTTAAAATAGGCCAGATTTTAGTTGTATGACAATTTTGTAAGTGTGAAAAGAATGACACAGCATTAACTGTAGCAAGAAAAGTGTATTCAAAAACAACTCAACAAACCAAGAATCTAAATCTGTTAAAAGCATATAAAATTCAATGTGCCTTACCCTAAAAGCAATCCAAAAATCAAGATATGCTGTAAAAGTTTGAAAGTGATAGTGTATACACTTCAAAACAATACATAAACTTGCAAGATTTTTCTGGTACAGATAAAGGAATCTCCACAATCTGCATACTGTTCTTAAAGATATACAAACACTAACATGTTTGGAGAAAATAAATGGACTGACAGCGTGGTAAAACAAGTCTCTCGTGTAACAGTGTCACTCATATACAAGTCTTTCAAGCACAAAAAACAGGGAAGGGACCATTTTAGATCTTCAAACTTTAAAGTGGATCCTGCCCATCCCGGGCCAGTTTAGGTCTACACTGAAAAAATATTAATTTGATTTGCTGATTTTTTTAAGGTAAGTGGTTGCAAATAATTTTCATGGGCTAAATGAAACAAACAAATTAAATAGCAATGTTCATCTTTGAGTGGATAGCGCTGTCGCCTCGCAGCAAGAAGGTCGCTGGTTTGAGTCCCAGTTAGATCAGTTGGCATTTCTATGTGAAGTTTGCATGTTCTCCCCGTGTTCGCGTGGGTTTCCACTGGGTGCTCCAGTTTCCCCCAGAGTCCAAAGACATGTGCTATAGGTGAATTGAATAAACTAAACTTGTCCGTAGTGTATGTGTGTGAATGAGTGTGTATGGATGTTTCCCAGTACTGGGTTGCAGCTGGAAGAGACTCACCTGTGTAGAACATGCTGGATAAGTTGGCGGTTCATTCCTTTGTGGAGACTGCCAATGAATAAATGGACTAAGCCGAAGGAAAATAAATACATAAATAATTTTTCTTTTTTTTTTTTTACATAAAAGCGGTGTTGTCGCGCGCCTACTGAAGGGGGGTATGGGCGGAGGGGGGTGTCGCGGGGGCACTTTTGATCATTTTGGAAGGGCACTTTCTATCCAAGACTAAAAAGGGTATGTGCACTGCACAGGTTGAGCCCTATGTGTGCATGTGCCTGAGCTCACAGCCTGCTGTGGGCCTAAATGTAGGCTGTTCACTAGTGTGGGCTGCTCATATACTGTACAGAGCCCAGCTGTGGGCCATAGGCTAGCCTGCACTGGACATGTTTAGATTTGGTGTGGGCTTGCTGTAGCCCACCGTAGTGCATGCAAAGAGCCAGCATGGGCCCTGAATGACCGTGTTATCTATGTGTGTGTGTGAGTGTGTGTGTTGTTTTATAGGCTGCATTAATTAGGGCAACATGAGTCGGGAACACTTCCCAAATGCCATTATAATAAAGTGTGTTTTTTATAATGCCGAGGTCTCCATAATACTAGACCAGGCCGTATCACAAGCAGATGCACAGCAAAATGTGGGGACCCAAAACAACTCTATGGGTGTTAATTTCAACACTTTGAAAGTGTCTCATGGGGTCCACTCAAAACAGACTTAAATCAACACTTTCAAAAGGGTTGGCACATTGACACCGAAGTAAGGGTTAATTTTAACTCAGGGCAGAGTTAAAAAATGTAACTATATTTAACACCACCTGGTGTAATATATTATTTTATTCAACTCTCTTGAGTGTAAATATGGTAAAAAGGTCAAATAGACTGTAAATTACAAAATAAAGACATTTTATTTGAAAACATTCACCACTTCAACAATTCATTCAATTTTTAAAATGCAACAATGTCAAATATGCTTTAAATGTTTTATTAGTACAGACAGTATCAACAAAATATGATGTCCAAACTTTATGTTTCATCAGAGCAATTTGAAAGTTCAATATATCGTCACTCATAGTTTTCTTCTGAACGCATAGTTTTCTTCTGAAATTACATTTTAAACAACTTGGCGTGCAAATCTTTCACTTCTGGTGTTTCCTTGGTCCTCCACATCAAACACAGCAGTTTAAATGAAGGTATAAATGCTGTAAACTTGTTTGAAAACAAACTGGAGCTAGGAAATCTCATCAAGCATGTCCTGTGAATGAAGTGCTTCCCAGCCACAAGATGACCTTTTTATCCATGACGATGTAGCAGCTGCTGATCACTCGTCTGGTGGTTCCTGATGCACAGATATAGGGTGATGCTCATCTAAGAACTCTTCAAGACTCCAGCATGACTAAGAAAAATGTTTGAAAATAAAATTGCAATCAAATTCTATGATATATTTAAAAGAACATTTAAAGTAAATAAAACATTCAAGAAATCTAAACTCACCTTTTGAAAATCTACATGATGATCCACAACTTGACTCTCCCAGCTGGTTGAGGTGACAGGATATGGAAAAGTAGAAAAAACACATACATCACTGTTGGATCTCCAAAAACAATTAGGTTAACTACTATGACTAGAACTGGAAAAACAGACAGCTGTCTGTCCAGAAACCTGAATTTAACACAACACTTGGAGCAAAATTTAGAGGAGCTTAAAATCTTTTATATCATTTAGGGATGCTGACTTCCCCAAAATATTGGCCACAGTGTAAAAAATATTCATAAACTTACAGTTTTCTGTAAGCGTGTGCGTGCGTGTGTGTGTGTGTGTGTGTGTGTGTTTGTGTGTGTGTGTGTGTGTGTGTGTGTGCGTGTTTCTTTACCAGATTCAACTTGTTAGGCCCTTTCAGGTCCAGTATTGACGCCACCTTTACTGGAGTCTAGCAGATGTTTCAGGTCCAAATATAATCTAAAATATTAGGATAAGCAGAAGAGAAAAAGTGCAAAGACAACAGCAAAACATTATTTAAGTAAAAGTTCACCCACAATACAAAACTTATCACCTTCATGTCATTTGTTATTCTCTAATGCTCTAATACCCTCTCAGCTTATTGTGAAACAAATACAGAACTTTATCAAACATACCTTCATTATTATCACCACATATGACCAAGAAGGTGTGCTTGGTCATTTCACCAACTCTGGAAATACACCATCCGTCTCTAATCAGCCACCGTCACAGGGTCTTGTGTTATTGTACAGAGAACTGTGGCTGTTAAAAAACAACAACACATTAGTATCTAACACATATGCATAACCTTCAGATAAAAAAGAGAGAAGAACATCACAAAGTATGCCTCACACATTTTCACATATCTTTTGATTCAGATGTTGATTATTGATAATAAATCTACAAATCAAACCTGTATCATCATTAGGCTGCTCAAATATGAATCAGTTGATTAATTTTACAGACAGGTGGCTGTTTACAACGCACTAATAAAACGGAAATGTTGTGTACAGTACATGCTAAGTTTAGCCTATAGTTTTAAGCACAATATCATGCGGGAGAAAAAGCTTGACTAAGATGTTCCTGACAACAGAAATAGCCTAACTTACTAACGTCAGACATCCCGAGTTGGGAAAAGTCATTTTCGGGGGATACAGAGTTGATTTGCGGGAGGTAGCGGGAGAGATGAGTACCTGAAGAGCAATGGGATGAGCTGCGCGCGACGTACCTGAAGAGCGGTGGGGGTGACTTGAGCGCGACGTACCTGAAGAGCTGGGAGGGATGCGGTGGAGAGGGGCGTGCAAAGTGTTTAATGACCGGGCGGGAGACGCGCGATTTCCGGGAGATGATCATTCATTTGCGGGCATCTACTTGGGCATCTGGGAGTCTCTGTGCATTTGCGGGATAACGTTAACGTTAGTCCCGCAACTTCCGGGAGACTTCTGTAACGTTAAATGTCTGATAAAGTGCAAACGCGGTCATTTAAAGACATTAATGTTAACATTCCGACTTTAATGGTTGTCAACACTTAATATAATTCAAGCGTACGTTATCACACGAGTCTAAGTTATGGACTAACGTTAACGGTATATGGACGGCCACGAATGAACCAAAAGGGCCGAGGTGTTTAAAATAACCAAATTAACGTACACGAATAACAAACAATCATTTGTTTCAGTCAGGAAGCCTTTTACAAGTAAGCATATGTTCATTTACTCACCAGATATGTTTTAGAAACTCTCCAGAGCTTATGGAAACCGTCCTGTGTTGCCGTTAGCATCCGGGCAGAGTAGGCTAACGTTAGGCTGCTCCGGGGATTCCCTCGCTAGTTTGCTTAGAATTAAAGGAGAAGTGTCGATTTTATTTTACAGATGGGTAACAACGCACAAAATGGCATTAAGCGTGACAGAAATGTGCTGAACATGTACATTTGATGTTTTTATGCACTATGTATGCGTGAGCATATATAAAAACATTCTTGAAAAGAAGTCAATAGTAATGCAGTTAAGCTAGATACACAAACGACCATGAATGAACCACAGAAGTTTAAAATTGTCACTCCATTCTAAAGTTATTAACTTAACAACATGTTTACAACTGTATTTCCTTAAAGAAAGTCAGTAAAATACCAACATTTAGGTAGTTTGACTCACCAGTTGCTGTTCTAAACCTCAGATGGAAAATGGCGTCTGGAAAATTCTTCAGTGACTGGGGCTGCATGAATTCCCGGATGTTGGAAATAACACCACCAAGTGTAGAAAAGATAACTCCTTGATTTCGCACTGAATAAAATCAATTCTAACTCTTATTATATTCATTTATCAAAATCTAACTCTTTAACGTCAACACTTTACTCTCAAATGCTTCAACACCGAGAATTTAACTCTGATGAATTTGCTGTGTGCTGTGCCATTCATGGAGGAGTGGAGAGCATGAGACTAGTTCCTGAAAGACCCCAGTGACAGACAAGTCTCCGCATTGATCCTGTGGGCCAGTATGAACACCCGCCTGTGACCTACAATACCTGCAGCTTCTCCATAATAGATTTCCAGCATTCTCCAGTCCCGGCGACTGCAGCTCTGCACAGGAAGCTTTGCAAGAGGAGAAATGGTCATGGCCAACTAAGCCTGGTTTCTTTTCTGGACTTTACTAGAATTATGTTAAACTGCTTTGACACAATCTAGATAGTAAAAAGCGCTATATGAATAAACATTACATTTACAACATGAATTCTCAGTTTTTTTCCTTCGCTTTTGTCATTTGGTGAAGTTTTGTTCCTTGTCATAATCCCCACTGGCTTTCTTAGTTTTGGGACTTGTGGAGCTGCGCATCTATGGATTTCCTCTTCGGTGTTTAGACTTTCAGCAGTGAAAAATAAACCACAGTGAACTTAACTAAACTGAACTGAAACTTTCAAAACTGGACTGAAACTCTGTAATTATACTATACTGTTCTATGTTAAGATGCTATGACACCATCTACATTGTAAAAGAGATATAGAAATAAAGATAAATTGAATTGCGTGTGTATGTTGCCTCTCTTATGAAAATCCTTAATGGATTCATAATTGTAAAAAAGTGAGCCAAATACAAATTATAAAAATCACTTGTGTGTTGTAAGTTTTCTCAAATGAAACTGTGGCGCCATCTTTTGGTAAGTTCCCTTTATCAACTCCTGAAATTATTATTAATATTATGTCAGTTTTACCTCAAGTGTTACTAAAATGACTAGAAGTTATGTTATTTAGACAACTCTAAAATAATCTAAAAAAAAAAAAAAAAATTGGATTAAAAACTAAAATAAAATGATTTGCCTAAAAATATAAGTTTAAGATCTTAAATTATTAAAACTAAAACGTAAATAAAAGCAGAAATATTTATAAATCTAAAGCTAATAACAAAAATAACCAAAACATATACTATGATTAAAATGAAGTTCAGCATTGTCAGCTAATATAGTAAATTATATTGGTGTTAGCAACACTTAATAAAGTAATCTGTTACTAAATATTTTACTACAAATATTTTATATTTTAAGCCAAAACTGTGTGTTGCAATAACACTATCATCATAATTCATAATGCCATCATGAGACTTGAACAGTCCAAAATCGGTCCCGATTCCCGAGGGCCGGTGTCCTGCTGAGTTTAGCTCTAACTTGCTTTAACACACCTGCCAAGAAGTTTCTAGTACATCAAGAGCTTGATTAGCTGGTTCAGGTGTGTTCGATTAGGGTTGAAGCTTTCCAGGACATCGGCCTTCCAGGACTGAGTAAGGAAACCCCTGCTTTAGAAGAATATGGGAAGACTGTGGTAACTGCCTACATAATCGTTGTCAACATAGTCCATTTAATAAGACCACTAAGTAACCGGTCCAGAACCTTGTTGCCATGTACTATTTTTTATTTATTTAGGCAAAATAAGTGTGCGTAGCGGCTGCAGGTATCCTGTAATGCTTTTTGTGTCCACTAGAGGCAGTGTTGATGCACACATAAAAGTACACGTGTTCAGTGCATCAACAGGGAACAGCACACAAGTTTGACCTGCATTGTGTGACCTTGGCACAAAACATGGTAAATCACTGAGCAGTTTTACTTTGTATTCCAAAAACATCACAGTGAAGTTTGTCAGCGCCTGGCAAATCTGTTTATAATGTGGGAAGGCAGCGCAAGCCTTTGTCTTCAAGGTTTAGTATGCAGGATTGACTTTCGCAAACTGAGGAGCCTAAAACAAACTGGCTGAATACAAGATTAGATTTCCAGCTTTCAGTATATCAGTCCATGGGTAAACTTTAACTCACTGGAGACATTCCTTCTGCTAAGTTTGAATCATATTGGTGTCTCAGATGTATTTTCAAAGGTCCACCAAAGCAGGGCCTAAAATAAATCAAAAGTTTGTTTTAAAGTATATTATATAATAAATCAGATTTCAGCAGCTCATAATTACAGGGTTTCAGTGTCTCTGAGTTGTTTAATTTGCTGTATATAATCCACATGAACTTCCTATTTGAAAAATCTCAAACTCAAGTCAGCAATGTCCATTTGAACAGGCAACACATAATAAACATCGTAAAATGATCAAGTTTGTTATAAGAATGGTTTATAAATAGGAGAACCTAATTTAAAGTGAGAAGTAAAAGCTCTGTGGTTTTTAAAGTTTTGAAAAAAAAGTAATGATTATAAATTGAATTATGTATGAAATTAAAAATATTACTTATGAAATATATTGCATTTAGGTAAAGTGGGTCTTTAATAAACAGAGAAATTATATTTTTGCTATATTTATTTATTTTATATTTATTTTCTTTTTAGCTTGACTGTCATAAACTGCTTTTTATAATCATCTTTGTAGCTCAAAGTGTTTGTATAAATATCCATAAGCAGACTATCCCTGTATTGTCATACTGTTTTTATTAAATTGTGTCTGTAGCCTACTTTTCTTCTGCTTGTAATACTCTTCAATGGAGATATGCGTTCAAGGGGTTGTGTTGTGTGGCTCTGTTCATGTATAGTGCTACATGTGCTGCTGAACTGGGCCAGTGTCACTATATTGCAATAGATGATGTAAAGCTCCCTATTAAAGAGCACTTTGTGTTTGGAACAGAAGGCCATTGATGAAGAATTAGTGTGTTTCAGAATATCATGATAAAGATATTGTTTTGAATAGTCCTGCATCTAATGTCCCTCATAGGTTGGATATTTATTTATTTATTTAAAATAAGATTAAAGTACATTATTTAAAAGTAAAGGCTGCATTTATTTGATAAAAAAAAACTGTAATATTGTGAAAAATGATTAGAGTCTTTGGATATACAGCTGAAGTCAGAATTATTAGCCCCCTGAATTATTAGCCCCCCTGCTTATTTTTTCCCAATTTTTGTTTTAAGGAGATTAGATTTTTTCAACACATTTCATAACATAATAGTTGTATATCTCATTTACTAATGCTTCTCTAATACTATTTTACTAGATATTTTTCCAGACACTTTTATACAGCTTAAAGTGACATTTAAATGTTTAACTTGGTTAATTAGGTTAACTAGGTTAGGATATTTAGGCAAGTTATTGTATAACGATGGTTTGTTCTTTAGACTATTGAAAAAAAATCTATAGTTTAAGGGGCTAATACTTTTGTTTCTGAAATGGCTTTTAAAAAATTAAAAACTGCTTTTATTCTAGCTGAAGTAAAACAAATAAGACTTTCAGACATACTGTGAAAATGTCCTCGCTCTGTTAAACTTTATCTAGGAAATATTTTAATTTAAAGGGGGGCTAACAATTCTTACTTCAACTGTCTACTGCCTTATTTATTTATTTTTTTTAATAAATGGTATGTTAGTGTTGCAAACAGTTGAAGCAATATTTTTGTGAAAATATCTTTTGTATTTTTTGGTGAATTGAAAACTCAGGAATGATAGGTAACAGAATTCTTGTCCCTGTTAATGTGCAGTTGAAGTCAAAATTATTTACCCACCTGTGATTTCTTTCTTTCTTTCTTTCTTTCTTTCTTTCTTTCTTTCTTTCTTTCTTTCTTTCTTTCTTTCTTTCTTTCTTTCTTTCTTTCTTTTCTTTCTTTCTTTCTTTCTTTCTTTCTTTCTTTCTTTCTTTCTTTCTTTCTTTCTTTCTTTCTTTCTTTCTTTCTTTCTTTCTTTCTCACAGTATGTCCTAAATTTTTATTTCTGGAAATAGTCTTTCCCTCTTTCAAAGTATTTTCTCTTTGCTTCACTTCTGCTTAAACAAAATCTTTAAAAAAATTTTTTTAAAACAGTTTTAAGGACAATATTATTAACCCCCTTAAGCAATTTTTTTTGTCTGTCCATAGAAAGGGCGTCATGGTGGCACAGTGGGTAGCATGATCGCTTCACAGCAAAGAAGGTCGCTGATTCGAGCCCTGCCTAAGTCAGCTGGCATTTCTGTGTGAAGTTTGCATATTCTCCCCTTGTTCGTGTGGGTTACCTCCAGGTGCTCCACAGTCCAATGACATGTGGTATAGGTGAATTGAATAAGCTAAATTGGCCGTAGTGTATGAGTGTGAATGAAAGAGTGTGTGTTTCACAGTGTTGGGTTGCAGCTGGAAGGGCATCCGCTGTTTAAAACATATACTGGATAAGTTGGCAGTTTATTCCGCTGTGGCGACCCCAGATTAATAAAAGAACTATAAGCTGAAAAAAATGAATGAATGAATGTCTACAGAAAAAAAGAGTTAAGCCTTTAAATCGCACTTTAAGTCAAATATATAATAGTAAAATATTTACTGTCATCATACTAAAGATAAAAGAAATCAGTTTTTAGAGATGAGTTGTTAAAACTAATATGTTTAGAAATGTGTTAATATACAGAGGGGCAGATAATTCGAGAGTTAATAATTCTGACTTCAACTGTATATAATGCATCACTAATAAATAAAAGTATATTATTATTAATTATTGTTTGTTTGAAGAAATGCAGCAGTGCAACCTTTCGTTTTAGTAGTAATCAGAGCAATCATTTAATTTGTGTAACCAGTAATCAGCACCAGATTACACATTTATGTTTACATGCACTGCACACGTAAGACTTTAAGTCCAATTTGTAGCTATAATCCTGTCAAAAATATTCCAATAATAATAAAGCAGCCCATAATCCCTTTGCCTGTATCAACATAGTGTGTATGTGACCCTGTATTATTTCATTTGCTATGATTTCTATTTCATGTAGTTTTTATAAAAAGTGTTTTATTTTATTTTAATCCACATGGTGTGTGTTTTTGCTCATACTATTACATTTAAAGTATTTTTTGTATTATTATTATTAGATGCATACATCACGTGGGGTTACTCTGACGCTTTTATTTGTATGACGTTATTGAAGTGCAGCACGAATGCAGATGATCGGAACACCTGTCCGGCTGGAGGAGTCGGGGGCGCGCCCGCAGGAGCGAGCTTCGGGAAGCGAGCGCGCGCTCTGCTGGAAGGGACGCACAGGCAGACAGAGCGGTGCGAAGAGAGGAAATTACCCGCCTTTACCGCATTACAGTGCTGCGTATGGGAGAGCATCACACCGCATCATATGTGGCCAAACCGGCAGCGACACAGGTAAGAAGAGCGATGTGATCACAGCACTGTCAGGGTCAATGATTTGCAAGCAACTGTCCTCGTTCCAGAGCAGATGAAAGCAGGCTAGATCTGTGCTTCTGTAATTCGGCCGCTGCTGGTAATCCTCGCGCATCCCGCGTGTTCAGCCTCTCTGCGCATCCCTGAGTGATGCGGTCTTATTTCTGCTGCTCTGCGCAAATCATACCAACCACTGTCTGTTGAAGATCAGGGCAGATTCTCGCTGAATGATGGATAAACGTGAGCGCGGCTTCATCTGATGTGAACGTGCATGTTAAGATGATTAAAGCTGGGCGTTTTGAGGCTGTCAAGTTAGTTGTTTTTGAGGCCGAGTGTCGGGCACGGATGCCGGAGGGAGTGAAAGTGTCATCGGCCCGCGCAGGACGCCGCTTTTAGCTCAAGGATACTCGGAGAACAGGACGAACGTTTTGCTGCTTCATTACACGAGGGACATTGAGGTCACTTTTGTCGGTAAATATCGCATTGTAATGTAATTAACTTTTTACTTAGGGTGTTAGTTTGGCCTGTATGGAAGAACTTTTACATATAGCCTGCAGGGCTCAGACAATCATGAATATATAGATGTAGGCCCATATTTATATTGAAAAGGGGGTTTAGGCTAGGCTTTATGAACTTTGATGGCAGGGTAAAAAAGTTGTAGGCCTTTTATCTATCTATCTATCTATCTATCTATCTATCTATCTATCTATCTATCTATCTATCTATCTATCTATCTGTCTGTCTGTCTGTCTGTCTGTCTGTCTATCTGTCTGTCTGTCTGTCTGTCTGTCTGTCTGTCTGTATTCTCGCATATCTGTCTTTTTGTCTGTCTGTCTTTCTATCTATTTATCTATCTGTCATGTCTGTCTGTCTGTCTGTTTGTCTCTATCTACATTTAAAATAACTTTTGCTTCTTGTTCAAACTGCATATTTAAATTGAAACAACACAATTGCTAATGTTTTTTGGGGGACAGCCTACTTTTTTATGTTCAATCCACTTACATTTTTATGAACAATTACAGTTTTTCTCTGTCGCTTTTGTGCATTTCTCACAACACTATTTACATTTGCACAACAGTTAATGCAATTCTCTAAACCATCAGTCAGTTGAACTTGTGAACATCAGAGCCGTTTCTAATTCCTTCCAACAAATTGCATTTGCTTTTGGACATGCATCATAGTTTTCAAGGTACACCACTGTTTAGAGAAGTCAAGGTTTTAAAACCGCCAACATTTTCTACTATACCTTTCCTAAGGATTATGTACGTTTAAAAAAAAAGTTTTGTTTTCCTTTTTTTAGGATAACAGTATCTTCAGCTGAAAAGCATCCAAAGATGCTGTTTTAAATTGTAAAGACAACTGTGTGTTTGAAACTAATGAAAACAGCAGAAGTCAATGATTGACTTGAATTATTTAGCCTGACATGTTTACTGCATCAAAATATTTTCAGTGTTTCTCAAAATAAAATATATTGTTTTCAAAGAGGAAAAAAATACTTGTTTTTTACCCAGACATTTAAATAGAATATATTTTAGAGCAGTAGTTGCAATACTGTAATACTGTGAAACCATGATATTTTTATCCAAGGTTAACATACCGTCAGAATCTCATACCGGTCCATGCCTACTCAGAACCTCACTAAATGCAGTAATGTCTAACTTTACTGTAGTTTTCAAATGGCTGTGCAAATGGTATATAATGCTGTCTTGAGTATTTTAAGGAAGTGTCACTAAAATCTGACTTTTTTTTTGCATTTTAACAAATGTACAGAGTGAACTGTCATTATGAAAACATGACAAAGTCATTTGACTATCTTGTTCATAAACAATGGTGTCAGGACTTTTCATCTTGATGACACTGACACTTTCATTGACATCAATACTTGCTTTTGAGGAATGAGCGATCCATTTTGAGCAAGTGACATGCTTTTGCAGGTTACCAACTAGGTTTTGCAGTGTGTACTAATTGTTTTGAGAAATGCATTAACTGTTGTGCAAATGCAAGTAGTGTTTTGAGAAATGCACCAAAGCGACGGAAAAAAACTGTAATTTAACTCATTGTTAACTTATTGAAGGAATTGTGTGGAAGTGGAACTCATATTTTTAAAGTCTACACTGTAAAAAATTTGACCTTAAATTCACAGTAAATTACTGGCTAATAATTGCATTACTTTCACAGTAAATTACTGTATGTAAATTCACAGTAAATTATTGTGAGGTAGTTCACAGTAATTTACTGTGGTTTTGTCACATTAAATTATTGTGAAATTACAACCATATATTGTAACTTTACAGTAGATAATAAAGTCTGTTACTGTGATTTCACAGTATTATCTTGTAGAATTAACTATATTTTACTGTGAATTTGCAAAACGATTACTGTGATTTAGCTGTAGGTTGCAGTTTAAATACCTGATTTAACTGTAAAGTTAATTATATCCCGGATTACTGTAATTTAACAGTTTGGTGCTGTAAAATTTCAAAGCAATTTTAGGTCACACAAAAATAAAAATTCTATCTTGATTTACTCACCCTCAGGTTGTTCCAGCTCTGTTAAAAATGTTTTTTTGTTAAACACAGGAATAAAAATATCAAATATTCCTCTTTGTGTCCAAACAACCTGAGGATGTGTAAATGATGACAGAATCTTCATTTTTGGGTGATCTGAGAAGACTCTAAAATCAAAATAAAAACAAACACACATACATTTTACAGATTTATTTAACAGCTTAATGACATCTGTGTAAACATTTCAGAAAACTTTCAAAAGGTGAAGGTGAAGCCTCAAAAAATACTATAAGAACATATTCATAAAAAAATCTGACATCATATGTAGCATACATATAAAAAGCAGTGTGCTTTAGAGTGCGCTCTCTCTGTCTCTCATTATATATATATATATATATATATATATATATATATATACACACACACACATAAGAGAGAGAGACAAAACTTCTTGCTAAATTAGGCAGTCGTCTATTCAAGGTCAGTCATTTTCCTGATAATTTTACACACTTGCTGGTTGATGTGTCTTCTCTGCTTCTTTGACTTCGTCTGTCTCCCATCTCCAAACTGGTGCCCAAAAAGCACCTATAAGCAAAAGGGCAGACAAACAGTTAGCTTCATTCAACACTACTGGGACACTACTGCTCTACTAGAGAGCAAAATTACTGTTAGCTCAGTTTGAACATGCTGACAATACTGTAGCTCAGTCGAACTGCAATCATTTAAACAAAAACATCTGAAAAACATTTCCATCACAAACACACAATCAAGAACAGTCCAACAACAAATAGTGGTTTTAATGACCTAGGCAGAGCATTTTAAAACAGTTGATTTGATTTACACCTTCTGTTTACAGACTATAATCTAATGCTGGGTTCACACTTATTGCAAAGTTAACACATGCATCACAGCACTTGCTCTTGAATACTAGCAGGATGTTTCTTGCATCAAGCTAATTTTTTATGATTTAAATATTAGGAAAATTTTGCAAAAAAAAACTTGATTGAAGTGATACAGCACTTGTGTTGTATTCATTTCAATCAAGTTTTTTGCAAATATTCCAAATATTTTTCAACGTTTTTTGAGTTTCACTTAATTTGTGCTGCCCAGTAAAAATTTCCCACTATTTATGCATTTGCAATGACTTGCATGTAATCCACTCACCTGAATAGGTAACTTCACATATGGTATAAGAGCCCCATCCTTTTAAAGACAGCTTCCCCTCTGGTCTCCAACACAGACAAACAATTTGTGTCTGCAACACGGCCCTTTATAACAAGGGTACAAGGGGAGTCATGACTTGTGCTCCTATACATTCCTTGTTTAACCCCCCCAAAACAAGCCCTCAGTTACAATATTTATTGTAGACATTACCTTAAATTCCAGAGTGCAAAAGGCATCTTCAGCATACTTCAGTTTCAGACCAGATTCAAAGTCAGTTGTGAAATCCAGGTGAGGTCCCATGACCACTCGACCCTCCAAGGAATAAGACTAAAAGGGGGAAAGAAGGACTAAATTAGAGGTGTTTGTGAATAATTAAATTTGTTTGTAAAAACAAAGTTGACATTCCATGCTCTGCCTATTAAAAACCAAGCAAACAAACACACATGCCCAGTAAAATTGCTAATAAAAATAAAAACTATAGTTTAAAAAAATCTTTGTCTAATATTTACTACGACTGGAGGTACTGGTGGAACTTCTGGAAGAAGAAAAAGAGTTTGTACAAGAAACTGCTCACAACAAATCTGTGAAAAACCTGACATTTAAAAATCTAATAAAAATGAGGAAGGCATCAACATTACCTTTAATAATCAAGCGAGGGTTGATTGGTAGCATCAGTGTTTCAACATCAGTGGCTGTGGCTGCAAAAAAAATATGAATATAATAAGAGTAGAATAAGACTCAACCTAACACGCACACACTATATATATATATATATATATATATATATATATATATATATATATATATATATATATATATATATATATATAGGTTTAGATTGTGATAATGAATTTAGGTTATATTTGTGTGCTCAGAATTTACACTCACCTCACACTTTAGCTATTATCAGGTACACCTGAACACCAAAAAAAAATCTACAGTTAGTGACAATATACAATTAGTTCTCATTAGTAAATGTTAGCACTGCATTAACACCAGTGAGAAATATACAATATGTACTGTGTTAGTGTTAGTTTAAAATAATACAACTGAATTGTATTATAAGCCTCATTTAATAAAACAGTTAAGACTTGTTTCATAATGAGTTTAGTTTATTTAACTAACTTAACGTTAACGTTACAGTGAACAAAATTAACATAACGTTACATGATGGTCACTAACCGTAACGTTAACTTAAGTGAAGGTCAGAGCTTACCTTAACGTTATAGTCATTTGACCTTTACTTCAGTCTTGTACTGAAACAGAAAATGCAGTTAACAAGAAGTTAATTAAAAAAATTCCCTTTCTTTT